CACTGGCAGCTCACCCTTCCCTCCCCGCCGGAGAGGCAGGTAAGTCAGTGGGCTGTGTGCAAAACATGGGGGTTTAACCAGTCCTAAATTGAAACCGTGCTTTTTAAAACCCATCGCTTCAATTTAGAGCCCCTGTTTTGTCTACACACACCCTATATTAGCAGTTGCCAATTGTAGGCAGGGACAGTTAGCAAACAGAGGGAAAAAATAGTTATTTCCTATTTGAAAAACACTACATGCTAATACTGCATGTCTATTGTAAAATAGAGGGTTAGATGCTCCACCGTATTAATTTATGTTGGTGTAGCTCCATTCAAGTTAATGAAATTATACCAGGTTTGTGCTGAAGTAACAGAAGAATCAGGCCGATGGCATCATGGAGCACTGCTATGGAATACTGTAACATTTTTTTGGCAATGAAGAAGTTAAAGCTTGTTAAAAAAGTCATGTGTATAGAATAGAAGGCTCATTTGGATGATATAAATAACAATACTATCTAGATGATAGTATATTTAACAGTAAAAGAAAATCTGTAGAAATCATTAACTTCCCCAAATGTGAAGCAAAAAATGCTCCGTTTGCCTCCAAATGGAAACAAGAGAATGTGTGCATGAGTACAGTAGCACATCAAGGGGGAAATAATAAACAGATCAATAAGGTTTGAATGAAGTCCCTTGGTCTTCCCGCACTCAACACTTTCACTGGAAAGCAAAAAGTAGAACCCATATGGAAAAACCACAGCCTCTTTGTAATGCAGAGGCCATATTAAGGAACATGCTGGCAAGTGAGGGTGAAGAGTCTTTATGTTTTGGACAAGGAAGGAAAAAACAAACCAACAAAAAAATAAAACACCACTTTGCTGATTCATCCAAACTAATTTAGAAGTTGTGGATGCTGACAGATATGGGGAAAAAAACCCAAAACAAAATAAAACAGTGCTTTACCAGAAGAGGCAGTGCATTAGTCTAACTCCACAGCATCTGTATAGATCACACGCTTCAGTGGGGCTTTTGGGGGCTTTTATCTAATAGCTGATTTAATCAGCTATTAAATCAAAGTGCCTCTTCTGGACAGGCGCTGGCCTCAGTGTGGAGGCACACAAAGTTTAAAGTAAAGTTCTTTTTCTTTTTTCTACTTCTGTAAGCATCCTATGTTGTTATGCTCTGGGACTGAATATATCCTCATTCTGAAGGAGTGCATGCTCTGTCATGGGATTTAAAAAATGATGCTGTGTTTTGGCAGAATAAAAATGAGGGAGAATATTAAGAGTTCTGGAAATTCAAGAGAGGAACCTGCCACCCAAATATAGTAAAAGAAGGGGGAAAATGTAAAGGTTAAAAGGTATTCAACAGCTGAGCACACAAACAAAGAGATATTAACAGGCCCCCAAACAGTGGACTGTTCTTTATATAGCAGTCAACTCTGGTGGTGGCAGTGACAGTAATTGGGAGAGGAAAAAAAGACACTGAAGAGCAGTTGAAAAGTATTTTACAAGTTTTTGGACTGTACATAAGACACAAAGAGGCACTAAGAAAACCACTAGGAAAAGTTCTATTGCTTACATCTAGCACCCCTAAAAGAGAAGAGACGCCTCTACTAACAAGATTATAGTAAAAATCAAAATGATTGTGTTCACATTCCCTGGCATAGAGAAACAAATATCTTGGGGATCAAGGTGACAAGACTACACTACTCATACGCCATTAGGTAAGTTGGTCATCATTTGTGTGTAATGGTTTGGCTCGTCTTTAGTGTATGGAAGGTCCAGTCTTCTCCCGCTTTGTGCTCATGACACCAGCATTGCCCAGTCACTGTCTTCTCTCCCATACTGAAACAAAAGCAAAGATCATAGTTCAGGAATAAAGGCACACAACAACAAAACCCACTCATGCTTATTCTCATCTGCACTAAGACTGTCTTTCACTACTGTAATAATGGAGCAAGGCTTTAATAGAGCAGTAAATGTACAATATAGACATTTCTATAGAACAAGTTTATTAATTAGTTTTATTACTTAATTCTAATCTTTATTAAACAAAACCAAAGGCAGTGTGAAACTGTATGCATCTTCCTGTGAGCAAGCTATGAAAGGGCTATGCCGCTCTCCCATGACGAGATACAAAACAGACCAGACTTGCTGTGATGGAGCAGCCTTGGAATTTAATAAAGTCTGTTAAAGACCAAGGATTACTGCATACAGCCCTTTTGCTAACATGCTCACAAGAATGTGGCTTATTCATGTCCCAGTATGTCAATGTGACTGCTTATCTTCTTTTCTCTCTTTTTTTTAAGAACTTTGAATTTATTTCAGATATAATCAAATTTGAAACATTACACCGTGTAAAGAGAACATAGAGAACGAACAGCATAAACCAAATAAAATAAACCTTCCGTAGATGAAAAAATAACAGCCTGCTCTCCCTACCTAGTAAATAGGATCAGAGAAATCAGAGCTGGAAAGATCCATCACATTGAGGGTGCCAACAGCTG